CGAAGAAACAACACGCCAGAGCCTCGTGTAAGGCATACAAACTCCATCGCCATAAGGCGTGCAAAATCCTACCTACATATAGCAGTTAAAATGTATTTTATTGCTTATGTGGCTGTATGATGCTACCCTTCCCAGCTCATTTACAGAAATATGTTCAGTAAAATGCGCTCTTCAAAGCAATTATCTGGAAACATCCTGCAGCCGGCCAAAAGCTTAGAATTTCCATCTCAACATTACATCTCAATGGGCAAATGTGTGTGTGCATGTGTCTGTGTGTTATGTTTAATATTACAGACAGACTTCACCCACCCACCCATCCCCATCCCCGAGGGCACTCAAACTTGAGTGAAATGGTTCGTCTTCTCATAAGAAAAGATAATTTTGATGCACGCAGTGTGTGCTAGGTTATCCACCGAGCTTGCCCAAGAGCAGCTCTGTTTTTGCTACCGTGCGCTGAGGTGCAGGAACCCGATCTCCGACGTGACCACCGCGTGCCCGCCGGGCCGGCGCGTCGATAACGTCCGAAATGACCATATCAAATTTTCAGCACCTGGCTGGTCCGAGCCGCCCGGGAGTGACCTGCAACCAACAATTGGAGGGAGTTGGTGAATTTTGGATCAGGCTCGGTAACTAACTGGCAAGCAGTGATAGCTCGGGTCGCGCTAGAGGCGGAGAAAGAGCTAAAAAGAGGACAGGCCTAACCCCTACATGCAGGCGGGACTCTATATTTCTACACAGTTGTGAACTCCGGTAGCCGAACCATAACACACAAATAGTGCAATAATTAAATCAAAATTATATATATATATATATATATATATATATATGTATATATATAGTATAGTGTGTGTGTGCGTGTGTGTGTGTGCTGTGTGTGTGTGTGTGCGCGTGTGTGTGTGTGTGTGTGTGTGGTGTGTGTGTGTGTGTGTGTGTGTGTGTGTGTGTGTGTGTGTGTGTGTGTGTGTGTGTGTGTGTGTGTGTGTGTGTATGTGGTGTGTGTGTGTGTGTGTGTGTGTGTGTGTGTGTGTGTGTGTGTGTGTGTGTGTGTGTTGTGTGTGTGTGTATGTTTGTGTATGGGGGGGAGGGTGTATGTAAATGCGCATAAGTATCCGTAGCATGCACAAACGGGAGCTTGGCAGTTTTCATCAGCCTCTTATAAACGCACCAAGTTTGTGAAGCAGAACGGGTGCAGTTGCAGTTCTCTCTTGCCTACTGAATTGATAAATTCGCATTAATTTACCACTGTGTGATCGAGTAGTTTGTGTTAAATTCATTTAGGCATTCGCAAGAATGAAGTTTTCTGAATGTATGCGACTATGATAGCGCGCTTACACCCACGTTCTCGACGCACAAAAATGTCATCGACAAAGCATGTTCAATTTCATTTCATGTAAAACAAAATAATGCGCTCTTGCACGCATCAGTGCCAAACCGTCATCCCTTTCCCAACTTCGATTAGACAAATATCCCTCTGTCGAGAATGGTTTTTGTTAACCGTCCGTTTTAAAGAACACGTTCTACAACATGTTGCAATGCCGGGGACACTGGTGCAATCCGCTGTGTCTCTGCACGTCCAGCAACTCTCACCCGCCTCCGATCGGGCGTGTGGCAGACGAAGCACCCTCGTGTTAAAGTCCTGTGCAACGCAGGCTAATTGAAGCAGTGTCGTTAGTTGAGCTGGCTCTTCGGCGGCCCTGCAATTATACTCCTGTGAGCTCGCCCACGCTCAGCCAGCTCAGCTCCCTCCGGCCGACAATAACCATCTCCAGCCGGAAAATAGGTTTTAAATATAGAACCTGTGCAACGCCCTCCGCGCCCACAGCAGTGAGCGCGGCGGCAGGACTAGCTGGTCGGCAGCATTAGCTAGCCGGGTTCTTTGGCATCAGGTGATGATGATGTAATAGCCCAACCGGAATAAACCACCCTTACCATAATCAGCCCATTAGTCCTTAGCGTTTTGCTAAGGGCTGCCTGAAGTACAGGCGGCTGAACCCAAAGCTTTCGATGACACGTACCTATCAACAGCATGAAGGGGACTTACCCACGGATGCCAGTGCTCACCACGAGGACTAGAACGCTCTTTTAAAACTTATAACTAAACGACGTTGTTCAAAATTCGTGTCAGACTGTTCAAAAGCCAAGCGTAAGAGTGTCAAAGTCGCAAGACGAGGCTTGTATGTTTAGCCTCCAGCGAAGATTATGACTGTGCATCAATTATCGTGATTGTCCCAACATCCGCGTAGACTCATGCTGTTGCTACAGTTTCTACTTTAACGTAAGTTTTCATTGTACAGAGTTCTATCGATACGTATCAGGCTTTCACGTGTTTACCAAGTGATGTGTGCGCCGTCTGC